CCCCCGGCTTCGGTGACCCCCCCGCCCCCCCTTTTCTCGCCCCGGGGTCGCACGGAGGGGCTGGTGGGGGCAAACCGGGGGCTGATCCCTTTGCAGGTCACCAACTCCCCCGTCTCAGCACCGCTGTGGGGGCTGGCGCCATGTTCGGCTCATCCCGAGGCGGGGTCCGGGGGGGCCAGGACCAGTTCAGCTGGGAGGATGTCAAGACGGACAAACAGCGTGAAAACTACCTGGGTAAGGGCTGACCTTGGCTGAACCCCCCCAACACCCCATCCCCATCCTCCCTGCGCCCCCAACATGATTTTGGGGTGCAGGTGGAGGTTTTTGGGTGCAGTGACGTGACGGGGGGAGGGGGTGTGTGTGTGTGTGTGTGTCTCGCTTCCCGTAGGGAATTCCCTGATGGCACCGGTAGGCCGGTGGCAGAAGGGGAAGGACCTGACCTGGTACACCAAGGGCAAGAAGGAGACGGCCCCCACGTTGTCCCGCGAGGAAGAGCTGGCTGCTGTCCGCCTGGCCGAGCAAGAGGCCATGATGGCAGCCCTGTGAGTCTATACCCCCTCCACCTCCTCCAAAAAATAAGGGGTGCAAGGCATTACCCCCCCCATCACCCCATGATATATTATAGGGGCTACAAGAACGTGAAGAGGCAGCCCACCAGCCTCAGCAAGGAGGTAAGGGGGGGGCACTGTGCATCCCCCCAGCATCACCCCATGCAGGTGTCCCCTCCCCTCGGCTCTATTTGGGGGGGGACACACACACCCAGGACGCTGTGCCCCCCGCTCCTGCAGGACCTGGCCGAGGTGTGCAAGCGGGACAATGCCGAGCGGGACAAGAAGGACGTGGACCGCGTGGTGGGCTTGGGCAGCTCCAGGTATGGAGGGGGGTGAAGGGTCTCGCATCAAAACGCACCCTCCCAGCGCAATTAGATTTTTATATTTTGTCATTTTTATGCTTTTTTTTTTTAATCTTTTTGGTGTGGGTTTTCGTCATTTTGTGACTCGCTGCGGCAACATTTGTCCCAGCAGCAGCGCTGGACGGGTGATGCTCTCCAAGGAGGACAGGGAGGCAGCCAAGATGGGGCTCTCCATCTTCACGGTACAGCACTGCGCGGGTCACATCTTCTGTGTGAGGTTTAAAAAAAGGGGGAAAAGGGAAAAAGCCTTACCCCACACTCAGGGTATTTTATTTAAAAACAAAGCTTGTGGTTGTAGCACCTGCAAGAGCTCCCCACGTCCTGTTCACACAGTTAATTTGTGGGGTTGTCATTTGGGAGCGGCTCTTGTGGGTATTTTGGACTTTTTCAAAAATTAATTAAAATTTTTTTTTTCCAAAAGGTATTTAAATTTTAAAGGCAGAAATTTCCTTTTTCTTGTAATTTGAAACTATGGGCTCACAGTGTCGCTCTGTATTTCCCATCTCTTCCAACCCTAGCACCAGAAAGTCTCCAGCAGCCCGGAGACATCTGGCTCCAAGAGGAAGCAGGAAAAGGAGGAGAAGGTGGAGGAGAAACGGTGAGGATGAGGACCACTGCTTTGGTGGGAAACCACCAGAAACAGCCTTTTCCTGTTAGGGAGTATTTTGCAGAGTGCTTCTACGGCTCTGTTTGGCATCAGACTTGTTCTGCATCTGCCTGAATCACCCCCAAAACCTCTTTTTTAAAATTTTTTTTTATTTTCTGGGGACTTCTTCTTGGCCAAGGAGGGCCATGGTGGCCTGTGCCTGGAGGGAGGGATGCGCAGGGAAGTGAGCCTCACTGCTTGATCCCTTCCCTGCAGACCAGAGGGTGTCAAGAAATCCAAAAAAGAGAAAAAGAAGAAGAAGAAACATAGGAAGGAGAAAAAGAAGGAGAAGTATCACAAGAGGGATGCTGCCTCATCATCCTCCGATTCTTCTCTGGACCGGAGTGAGAGGTAGCTATGTGGGGATGAGGGTTGAGCCCTGGTTGTGGGGCCTTATTTTTTTTGAAAATGAAAATTTTGGAAAATTGCTGGGAAACAAGATGAGGCGTTTAGGAGAGCCCCATGGTCATGGCTGGCATCAAGATGCCCTGTCAGCATCTCTTGGCTTTCCCAAATCCCTTTTTCATCCCCAGAACCAGCTTGTTGATATCCCCAGTGTCCCTGCTGTCACTTACCCCTCCATCCCTGTAGGCACCACCGGAAGAAAGCCCAGCAGCGCCCCGAGACCTGGCGGCAGGGCAGCCACCGGCAGCACGACGCGGGTTCCTCTGACAGCAGCTGCGGTTCGGGCAGGAGCCCCCCACGCCGCTCTGCCCACTGCCGGAGTCAGAGTCAGGATGGCCACGGTCGGCACAAGGCAAGGAAGAGGAGCAGGAGCAGGTCGGAGGACTGAAAGGGAGCATGTTGTTTTTGTTGTTTTTTTTTTTTCCCAGAGAGATCTTCACATAGGCTATATATTTTTTAAGGTTATTAAATTCAAAAAGCCACAGCTCTGCAGTTGCCAAGGCTGAGTCTGGCAAAGGGTGTTCTGTTTTGTGATACCAGCTGGCAGCTCCCCTGCTGTTGCCCCCGGCAGTGGAGGGGGGCAGCAGGTATCTAGGCACCCTTCTCGGTCCCTGGATCCGTCCATCCAGGCATGATTTAGCAGGGAGGATGCTGTGGGGTGGGTGCTGGCACTGGAATGGTTCTGGCTGTGATGCTGGAAATGCTGTCGATGCCTCATGTTTATGCGGAGACTTTGGATACAGTCATTATTATTTTTTTTTAATATCTTTTGATGCCCTGAAGTAACTGCCAGCAAAGCAGCGGAAGAAGAGTTTCTTTCCTTAAACCCTCAAGTTCATTAGCTGCAAAATAAAACACAGGACTCACGCACTGCCAGGAGGGTTTTGCATCTTGGCCCTGATGGCTTTGTGATGGTCTGACTGTGGGGCTCTCCACGGGGCTACACATGCTCCCTGTGTGGCATCACACACCTTCCATAGGGCACACATACACCTGTGAGCAGGGGTGTTCCTCACCCCAGGAGAGGGCAGAGCCCTGGCTGGGCTGCCCCAAGGTGATGTTCAGCCACCACCATCCCCAATACATTTTTAATTTGGGGAAGTTGTGAGCAGGAGCTCTTCTCTCCCTGGTGGGACATGGATCACAGGTAGCTCCACACCGCCCCCAAACTTGCTGTGGAGTGGCCTAAATCACCACAGGGATGGTCACACCGTGGGGTCCCTCTGTGTCCCCTGCATGGGGATGGAGCAGACCACCCCCTAGAGACAAGTGCTTTCCTGGTCTGAGTTTGGGGAAAAAAATGAGGACCTTGTGACTCAAGCAGCTGCAGGCTAGGGGGATAGATCAGCTGAAAAACAGCTCTTTGGATTAAATAAATAAAAGTTAAATAAAATTTAAATAAAGAAAGGATACTGCCCTAATTAAGAGCTGCAGGAAGAACCTCTAAAATCACTCCTCTGCGACAGGGAGATAGATGGACCTGGGGTGTCTCCTGTGCTGTTTGCGTCCACCCTGCAGCAGGGCAGAGAACAGCAAGCTCCACTCCCATTCAGGGTTTTAAACATCAAAACATGAGTATTTACATGCTTGGCACACTGAGAAAGGGGAATTTTATGTCAATAAATAGAAATATTGATCCAAATGGAAAGGGGTTGTCCCAAGCAGCTCAAGGCCAGAGAATTGCTAGCTGCTGGAGTGGCCGTGCCAAGCACAAGGGGCTCATTTGTGTAATTAATGATGCAATTTCTCCTGCTTAAGACAGGGCGATTTTGTGTGTCTTGGCAGACAAAAACCCCGGGCTGGCAAGCAGCCTCGGTTTGCACTTTGGCAACGTTGGGGGGTGGGGCAGGGGGTCTCCTGTGTCATCTTGGCAGCTGTGCCATGGCCCTGCCCGCAGCCAGGCAGGAGGGAAGGGAGGTGCAGCCAGTGCAGGGTGGGACCAGGCGTGTGCCCAGTGTCAAACAAGGGCAGCATTCAGCACAGGGAGCAGGGGGGCACAGCAGGATGGGGTGATGAGCTGAAATAAAGCCCCTTCTGTCCCACTCCCCTCCCTGGCTGCCAGCACGTGCTTAACCCTGCCAACACAGAGGAGTTGCTGCAGGGCAGCAGCAAGCTTTGGTGAACCCCAAGATGCATTTTTTGGGGGGGTGTGTGTTTAACAAATTCTCAGCATGGTCACAGGGCTATGCTTGCTCTGACCCAGCCCAGGGACCCACCACGTGGCTACACACATGCAAACCCTGTGGCCCAAGTGGGGTAGCTCTGAGTCCACAGCCAGAGGCTTGCCAGACTGAACTCAGGGTCACCCTCCTGGGGAATTTTGGGGTCCTGGCTGCCTCCACGGATGGTGGAGCAGGGCTGTGCTTCACAGGGAACTCGGTGCCAGAAGCTCCAGTCTGAAAAGGCAACTACTTGAGAGCTGAAACACTGCAGTGAGCAGACAAAAACCCAGGGAAATCCTAACACCTCGCTCGCGAGTCACACTCCCTCTGCGGGCTCCCACTTCCCTGCCTTCATCTTCCAAGCGGGCTGGGTTCTGCCAGGATGATTCGCATGCCAGTATCAGAGGGGGTTTGTTGATGTGGCAAGTGGAGGGGCTGTGGCAGGGTTATCCTGGCACAGTTCAGCCTGGTCCCGAGAGCTTCACCTCCCTGGCTTTCTCCTGCCTCCTGCAGAGGTGGCACCTCTTGCTCTCTGCTCCAGCACCTGCAGAGAGGTAGTGTGCTTTGTTGCTGCTTTCCCCGCCCCCCAGCCAGGTGTGTCACAGCTCAGCCTCTCACACTCTCGCTCCTTTGAAACCCCTGCCAAGGCTTTATCCCCTCCCTGTCGCTTTTCACAAGTCCTGTTAAACCATTCACGGGGCTGCAGGAGCTTTACCGGTGCCAAGGAAACAGGGTTGATGGAGCAGCACGATCTCTCGGGAGCGAGGGGAGACAGGGAGGGTTGCAGCCAGGCTGTGTCCCCTTTCAATCCTCACTTCCAACCCCAGACAAGCAGGCAGCAGCTCTTGCCACTTGCCCTGTCTGAAGGAGGTGCTGGTGCCTGATTCACACTTAAATCTGAGCAAAATACAGACAAGATAAAAATGAGGGTGAGTAGGAGTGAAGGAGCCTGGCCCCATCCCCACCCCACCAAGCTGTTGGTTACTGGGTGCACTGAGGAACCGCACCAGCTGCAGTTCAGTTCTGCTGGAGGGAGCTGGTGTTTTGTCCTCACCCTTTCCCCTGAGCTGGAGCTGCCTCCTGCCTGGCTCAAATCCCCGGGGGCCTGGCCGAGCCCAGCAAAGAGCAAAGCCGAGGGCTCGGCTCCCACAGCTCCCCACTCTCAGATAACATCAGCACATTCCTCATCTTCTCCTCCAGCAGTAGCTTCTGCGCATGGCAAAGCAGGATCTGTGGCATGGCCGAGCAGCGTGGATAGGGCCTGGCCCCAGTGCCGACACACCTCGGGTAAAAACCACCACTTCAGAGCAGCCTCTTGACTGCCGATGGGGTGGGGGTGCTGCGTCACAGCAGGTCATTCACCCTTTCAGGGATGGGGGATGCAAGAGGACTGGGGGGCTCTGCTTTATTTCAGCAGTGCAAAGTGACAGCAACACAAGAGCTGGCCCTTCCAGTTCAACTCCCTCCCAGAACAGAAATAAGCAGATGTCCTGCCCTATTAGGCATTCAGAGCCTGAAATTCAAGGCAAGATGAACAGCTTCAGAGGAATAACCTGATTTACAGGAGTTTTGTAATCCCAGCGCTTGCCTAATACTATTTACTCTCTACTACCAAGCACAAGGAACAGACACAGGGCACAGGCAGCCCTTGCTGGGAAATCCAAAGCAACCTGACCTCCCCCTACAGCCCCCCCAGCTGAAGATGGGGCAGAAGACACCCATCCCACTCCCCGAGCCTCTGCTCAGGAGGGGACAGTCCCAGAATAAACCTGCGCTCAGGGTGAGGGCCGCTCTGTGCACACATGTGAAGCAGCTGCCACGCTACTTGAAGGATTTGGAGAGGAAACAAAACCTGAGAAGTGTGATCTGTGGGACAGAGATCAGATCATTCAAAAGGCCAGCAGCCCCCACCCGACGCCGAGAACGCAGACACCAGCTCAACAGCCTACAGAGCAGCACTCCTGCCTCCCCGCCCAGCCGTGCCCACCCCCAACACCCCGCCACAGCCCCAGGTTACCTGCAGGGATACTGCTCTCTAACCTGCATAACAGACTTTTCATCTTAGTTTTCCAGCCTGTGTTAACGGGGAATCTGCTGCAATTCCGGCCAGGAACACAGCCAGCAGCTGGCCACTGGCCTGCACCCAACCATCCACGAAGAGAAGCGGTGGCTGACGGGGAAGGCAGCAGGAGCAGCTGGGAGGAGCTCTGTCCCAGGTCCGGAGGGGACTGCGGAGTGGAAAAATGCAGAACAAAGTCTTGAGGAAGGCAGACTTCCTTTTTTTTTTCCTCCCCAAAACTGCTGATTGAAGGATCCTATTACTAAGTGTGATCAACAGGAAGAACAATCTGTTGTGGGAAGCACTGGGACTACTCAAGAAGCTCAACAGATGTCCTTAAAGCAAGGAAGGGACTCCAGCAGAAGCCAGCGGGACCACAGAACCACTGCCCACCTCTTCCCCTGCAGAACTCCAACTAGGAATGATACACCTGAAAAATATGGTGGACGTCCTGAAATTTTCAGCAAAATGCAGGTTGGATTTGCATTAATCTAGCACACAGTAATGTATAAAGATGATACAAACCAACATGATAACCAGTGCAAGTTTCATGAAACTTTTTATTCAACAAGTATTTCATTATGATTCTGCCAAGATGATCAAATGAACAGCAAGGCATAAAAAACATGAAATAGTTAAGAGATTTTATTCTAATAGCTTTAATTACAGTGCTTGTTTGTCGAAATGAAAACTGAAAACAAGTATACAAAACAGTTGATTACTAATTGTGTATTGAAAGCAATAAAGGTTTTCACAACACTAAATAAACCAGTTCTGATAGTTCCTCAAGTTAAACAGCTCCAGCTTCTTCAGTGTTTATCAAAATACAAAAGAAAAGTAAAGAGGTCTTTTTTTCTGATGGCAAATCTGAACCTTGCAGTATGAGGGATGCCAAGGGTTTTCACACATATACAGATATGGGATTGTTTCAAAATGGGATTGAACACTTCTAGAGTGGAATGACTCTCCAAACTCTCATGCTTTTTTTTCCCCTAGACACTATACATAGATGTTTGGTGTTTTTCATGGCAATTCTTATGTTAAGTACAGTACTTTCTGCCTATAGAGCTTCGGACTAGTACAGGCTGTGCTTTTTGTGGAAAGGTTTGCCTTCTGGAGTGGTTTACACACAAGAAAAGTACAAAACACTTTTGACAAATACAACAG